TTTTTTTTTTTTTTTTTAATATATCTTTATTGATTTCAGAGAGAGGAAAGGAGAAGGAGAGAGATAGAATCATCAATGATGAGAGAGTCATTGATCAAGCCCGCAACCCGGGCATGTGCCCTGACCTGGAATCGAACCCCGATCGCCTGGATCCTAGGTCGATGCTCAACAGCTGAGCCACACCCAGCCAGGCCACTGAGTCTTTTTAAAAGCTCTCCAGGTAATTCTGATGTGCAACCTAGGCTAAGAAGTACTGTTCTATGAGGAATTAAAAAAATGAGTTAAGAGATTAATAAAGGATTTTTTTAAAATGTGTTTTTATTTCTTTTTAAAGAGAGGGAGGAAGGGAGAGGGATAGAAAGATCGAAACATTGATGAGAGAGAAACATCATTGAGAAACATCATTGATTGGCTTCCTCCTGTATGCCCCCTACTGGGATTGAGCCCATAACCCAGGCACGTGCCCTGACTGGGAAAAGAACCAGTGACCTCTTGGTTCATGGGCCAACACTCAACTACCGAGCAACACCAACCAGGCTAAAGGATTTTTCAATAGAAGTAAAGATCTGGTGGAAATCAGAAGACATCACTCAGGGTAGGCAAATATTACTGTAGAAAACGCCTAGGAAGTGAGGAATTCAGTGGTGCTTGGTATAATAAGGATAAAATGGATTACAATTTAACTCTAAGCTGAAGCAAAACAGAATGAGATGGACTGAAAAAGGATGGTAAAGGGAAAGTGTATGAAATGAGAACAAAGGGCAAGTGGTGAAAATGAGGTGCATTTCAAAACCTGACATGTGGCAACAATGGTATGTTGCTGGAGATGAATGTTACAAATGTAGACAAGATTTGAAATTAGGGTTACCTTGGCCATCAACAGTGACGAGGAAAATTCATGTCAGCAGCTGAAATCATAAAGGAACACAGTATCTTGGAGGCGTGACCAAGATGACAGCATAATTGTGGAGACAGGTGTAAACTGTAGTGCAGCTGTGAAAAAGGGAGGTTTTTGTGGAGTATATTACCCCTTTCTCTCCCCCAAAAGTTCTTGTGGTTTAGAATACCAGGTATGCATTTTAAGATAGTTGTGTTGAAAGTTGTAATAATCAATAATCCCATTTTCATCAGTAAGCACTAAATGCTTAAAATATACAGTACATGCAAAACCAAATAAATTCTAAAATACAAAAACTGGTGCTCATAGCAAACGGTATAAAGAAAGAACATGGAGTTGCCACTAAAGAGACTTTCATAGTGTCAACGTGCAAAGCCTTCTGCTTTACATATATTCAGCGCTTCTCTAAACTCTGACTCTCTCCCCAATTTGACTCCTGTGTGCTGCTTCAAAAACCAGGGAGTTTATAGAGGAAGAAAACACTTTAACTGTACACTAAGCTTAAATACTATCAGAAATGACAGACCTCTAGCTCACTAAATCCTCTGAAGTACTCACATTATTGAAAATACTGTGGCTGTCCAACATCGCCCTAGAGGGCAAATGCATTATAATGATTCTATAGCAAGAGACAAGTACTATCAGTGTAGTGTGTTGTAATACAAGGAACTGCATAGATAAATTCACCTGAAGTCATCCAATCAGTGGTAAGGGCTTTAGAATCACTTTCACATTAGTAAATATTAAACCTAATTTATCCCAGTAATAAAAAGTTTAATTTTTATAAAGTACATCAATCCTCTACCTAGCAGAGGTGGGCATGGGGAATCACTTTTATTATCAGAGAATGCAAAAATATATACAAAGGAGAAATGTAAGAGAAATCCATTATGACACTGGTATTAGGAGCAAAATAATTCACATTATAGTCCCATATCATTATGGCAAAATATATTTGCACCACTAAGTACAAGAGAAAATAGTGTAGCCCACACCCTAGGTAAAAACTACTGCAATGAATAGTACCTAACATTTGACATATTACTGCTATTCCTGGGTCCTAGTTATTACATCCAGAGTAAAAGTGGTTTATTGATCTGTTTTCAACTTTCTGAAGGTTTAAAACTGCTGTTTTGTTTTGATAAAAGCAACAGCTCGGGGAAACTCTCAGTTCACTGCCTGCTACATGGCAGGCACTCAGCAATGACGGTTCCCAAGTTCACTGACTTGACCTTTCCTTCCCACCTAAAATATAGATTCTAACCACCCTTTAAAGAATATCCATTAAAATTCTCAAATCAAGACAACAAGCACACTGTGTTAAAATGTGTCTGTGTTAACAAGAGACACCTAATTGTAAAAGTGTATACATGCTAATTTCTTACACACAAGGGTAGTCAGATTTAAGGTTGACCATGATGAATGAAGCAAAGAAAGGAAAGGTGAAACCAGTGAGAATGCAGAGAAATACTGGAAAGAGAATGCAATGATAATGTTAGTGTGAAGAGTAAGTGAAACATTCATCAAGTGCTAGGTTTATCACGGAATACATACCCCACATGAATGTGCTAAGAGTACACAGAACTATTAATGATCTCCAGGTTAGGGGACTGCCAGAACTACCAGGTGCATTCACTCCCATAATTCCAATGATTTGTTTGAGCAACCAGTGGAAGCCACTCTAGCCACCCCCATGAGCTGCTAAACCCAGAGACGCCAAATAGTAGCCAGTCTGACGGTGACAGCTTATCTTGCTTAGGAGCTGGTTCTACCAGAAGCAGCTCTTACAGGGTCCTCAGTGCCCTGTTTCTCCATTGTGATCCTTGGCCTCTCAGGAAATGTCTTTCCTCTCCCAGAGTAAACTAAAAACGACACTCAAATCAGTGTTCCTGCTAATCCTCCAGTATTGGTGCTCTGCAGTTCTTTCAACAGCAGCTCTTGTGATCAAATAAGTCCAAACCTCTCTAGGGTTGGGTATAAAAAAGCTTGTGTGTACCAAGCAAGGCATAACCCCCGCCGACCTGGTCATTTGCCCACTTTTTGCTGTGTCCCTCCCTCTCTTAGTCTTCCTTGGTATTGCTCTTAGAAACAACTACTCCTCTGCCTGTCTCTGAATTCCAGTATTGTTAGCACTGAACTACTCACAAAATTCCTCTTAATAGATCTCTTTCTAGGGTTGCACAAGAATTCAAATTTTATTGTCAGCCCTGCAGAGGTCAAAACTCCTCATTAAAATTATGCATGCTAAATTATAACAGTGAATTCTGAGCTAAAAACTGTAATTTTCTATTTTGCCAAAGTGACTTAAGATGAAAATTTTCAGGATTAGGGTCCTATTATTTTGTATGATTGGGATAAACTGCCCAGTTTTTCCAGATTAACACATAATAGTTACATTATGAAAACATAATTTATCATTATATATTTATCATTATTCATTCACTCAAACATATTTAAGCACTATGCTATATTCCTGGAAACACAGTGAACAAAATGAACAGAATCACGAGATATCATAATAAACTTCTATAGTGTAATACTTATCTCTAAAATAATCCGGCATATTTTAAGTATTTTATTTAATGGCACATAAATAAAATAAACTGGGTAGTACAGAACATACAGGAAGTGTATCCACCATGACTAAATGCTACAGGAATTCTTTATCATTTAAGCCTTTCTACACACTATGAACATGTAACAATTATGATAAGAAATACTGGGCACTGAAATATTTGCTGGTTACTAAAAGAGTGCTACTATTTTACTTTTTAAATTGAAGAGCACATAAAATGTACTAATTGCTTGAACAAAATTGTTTGTCAAGAGTAAGAATAAAATTATATATATATATATAGAGCAAATTTTCAAGCAAAAAAGCATAATGGATGTCAAAATTATTATGTTGTACTACAAATATCAAAAGATAAATCTTACTCTTCCTAGCACATCAAAGATTGTTTTCCAATCTTAATTGATAGTTTTTGGATTATAAGGAACATGCAAATATATTAATTTTCTTACTAAAATAGAGTCAATCTATATACACAAAAAATACTTGGGGGGAAAAAGTTTGTGTACATAGAAATAAATATATATACTCACAGGAATAACATACTTTGACAAAAAGTTACATTTAGCAAAGATTTTTTAAAAATCAAACAAAAAAATCCTGCTAGGCCTTTTTTTTTTTTCTTTTTCTGTCCTTAGGGCTTGACAAGGAATGTAGAAAATTACCAAAGTAACAAAAAAGGACACAAAAAACACACTTCAAACTGCTTGTCAGTATTAGAACCTGACTTGACAAACAGGTTTAATCCGCTTCCTCAAAGGTCATGCTATCAAGGTGAAGGATGAGCATCTTCTCCTGTGTTGGGCTGGCTGTCGCTCTGAGAAGTAGGGAGCTCCTCCGCCTCTCCTGCGTGGGTCACTTTATCTGTTTGTCTTGCAGGAATACATTCATTATCTGTCCCCTCTTCACTAGGTGATAAAATACCAGGCCATTCACTTGACATCAGAACTTGCAATGGTTGTGTTCCGTCTTCAACATCCACTTGAATTCCCAGAGCATTAAGAATGTCACATTTGCACATGGGGCATGTTCCATGCCCTAGGATCCAGGGGTCAATGCAGTTCTTGTGAAAAAAATGCTTACAAGTCAGAATACGAACCGTGTCATTAGGCTTGTAGAGTTCAAAGCAAACCACACAGCTGTCTCCGTTTGGACTTACTTCTTCATCTCCTTCTTTCAGCACCCGAAGTTGGAGCTGGCTAAACGCTAGCTTGAGATCTGTCGCTAATCGCATCCATCTCCTGCTCTGAATCCTTGCTACCCAAAGTCTTCGAATATGATAAAAGACGAAGTACACAAAAGTAGCCGTGGTGAAAATCAAAAAGGAGACAAAATAGTGATTCATCCAGATGATGTGTTTTCTCCCCACCTCCACCATGACTGTAACGTGAACTCCCTTCCGGATTAAATGTAAAATCTCCATGCCTTTTAAGTTACCAATCATCACTACCACAGTGTCTTCAAATGCCTGATGAGACATAGGAAAAACCTGATTGCCAGTTCCAGGGAAGTTATAGATGATCACTCCACTGGCTCCCTTCTCAACGGCCACCTTAATTTTCTGTGTGAAGGGACAGCCTCCCCGTTCAATAAGTGCGAGCCACACCTTCGAGTTCTTTGATCTGCTGAAACTGGTATTGGAATTACAGGCATGTTGCATTTTTCCGTCTGGCGGCACAATAACTCCTGCCACCCTCTTCAAAGTGGAGCTTCTTCCAAACACTCCAGTTTCCCCCAACTCTGACAGCATGCGATTCCCAATGTGAAATGATATGTTCATGTAAGCGGTCCAAACAGCGCTGGCTTTGCAGCAATTCTGACTAAGAAGCCAAAGAATACTGAATTTCACAAGCCAGGTAGATGCAGTATTGTTTCTCTGAGCGCCAACCTGGAGTAGATTCATCTCTCTCTGCCTAGTAACCAAAGGACCAACCCAATGAAAAGATGTGGCTTCCACATCTGTTGACAATCAATTCAAAATAACAAAATGAAAAAAATCTTCTGGTTGAAAACAAATTCCACTGTCTTCCAGCATGTTTTTGTGAGAAATTCTTAAAGACGTCCTATGAGTTTCAGATGTTTTATTAGAGGCAGAGAGAGAAAAACTTTACATTTGGGGAAAAATCCTAGTCTCACTACTGTAACTCTAGATACCGCTTGCTTACTGTTGGGTGATGTGATTGTGACATAAAAGGCAACAACCAATTAGATAAGAGCTTAGAGCACCCTGTAAAATGCACTGGCTTGAATGTTTCAAACGTTGTTATGGGTGACTTCTAAGTTGTTATAAGATGGATTCCATTCCTGAGCGACATGTATGTTAGCAGGTACCATGATTAAACTAAAAATTAAATATAAAGTTCATATAACACATATGTTTTAAAACCTGAATGGATATGCATATGCAAGAAAGCCATATAACTATAATTCTTCTTTAAAAGAAATATTTTCAACAAAATGGCAAGTTTTAACAAAATAATGTAAAGTTAGCATTATGACTAAATATGTGGTAAAAATGAATTGTGTAATACCATTTTTAATTCACATTTGGTCACAATGCAATTTTTTTATTAATCCTGCAAACCACTGTACTAAATTTACTTAATAAAAGCTTGCTCAGAAGTTTGGTTTGGATTTGATTTCTAAAAATAGCGCATCCTGTTAAATTACATCAGCCTCACTCTTACACTGATCATACATAGGAATGACAGCAGTAAAGACAGAAACACTAATCTCATTTCTCTGCAGACCTTGACATCTATTGCTAATCTAACAATATTTTGAGGGTAGAGGAGGAAGGGTGTAGGGGAAAGATTTAATATAGCTGTATTAGTTTAGTACAACTCATTGTAAACAAAAATGTACCTACTGATTTTAGAAAGAAAAGCTTCTTGGTCTCCCCACTTACAATTAACTACTGAAAGCAGTGATCATTAAAGGTCAGAGATGCTTTTAATAAAATGTTTGCTAAAATCAACAAACATCCCTGGAGGAAGACCTCACATACACAGTCAGCTCTGCCTATATTTTAGCTACACTTATGTCAATAGCACAACAGGACTTCCAAGGCAAAGAATGACTTGTGAACTAACATGGGCAGTCACTGGTGCTCCCACACACTTTCTTGGCAATATATCTCAGTGGTTCTTATTGACCAGCGAGGAAATCACTGAAGGATTTTGATCTTGAACATAAATGTCTCTGACCTCTATGCACAGGATGCTAAGATACACTTTTGGTTGGATTTCCCTAGGACAATGGATGCTAGTACTTCTTTTGAAATGTGAGTCAACAACATGATAATTTGAGGCAGGAAAGAGGAAGGAGGAAGCCATAAAGTGTCATCTGAGTTGGACTTCAGTGGTTCAGCATATTGTCCATAAAGAGAGATTTTCATCAAAAAAATGTAACCCAAACCTTTCAGCCTCTCACAGTTATACAGGGGTTTATTCATATATTTGAAAAAAGGAAGAGGCAAAGTAAAGCAAAAGATAAAATTTAGAAAGGTAACTGAAAATTTCAACTCTGCACTGTCTACATTATCAAAGAGAGACACTCACCACTATTTTGAGAAGAAAAGCATTTACTAGTTTATTTCTAGAGAGGAAATCTGATAACCAGATTTACTATGGTAAGATTTAAAGGGCTCCAGTAAATAAAGGTGATTTTTTTGCAATGCTGCCCTAAATAAGACCTATAATTTAAAATTGTTTTAGTTACGTAACCAAAAGTGCTATCATCTAAAATAATTATTTAGATGAAATTATTTAGAAGAAATTATCTACCCAGACAGTAACTTTGGAAACCAGATTCTTTGGTTATTAATAAAATTAATTAATAATGGAGCATTAAATCAAGATATAATCCAATAATAAAATTTATTGAGTAGAGATATTATTAGATATCAAATATTAAAAATATGGTAACAAAGTATAAAAATTAATATTAAAATCTTTAAAATATTATGACTAGTTCTCTGTGACATCAATGTCACATTGTAATTTGAAAGACTAATTTGCTTTTAACATATACTAATGTCCTTATGCAAATAAGAGCAAAAATATATAACTAAAACTTATTAGAAAAACAACAAATTCAAATAGGTGAGCATGATATGGAGTTTTATTTTAAAAACACACAAATTTTATCCTCTTTGGTACTTGGGTAGAGAAGCTGGAATTGAATTTTCTCTCTACATACTGTGCTAAAATAATTCACCTAATTTTAATCTTTGAAAAGACTTGGTTACATCTTCAGAAAATTTTCTGGGTTTCTTAAGTTTTCAGAATGTCACACTTGCACATGGGGCACGTCCTATGGGCTAAAAGCCAAGGGTCAATGCATGCCTTATGGAAAAAATGTTTGCAAGTTAAAATACGTACTGCATCTTGGGGCTTGTATGTGTCAAAACAAACAACACAACTGTGTTCATTTGGATCCAGCTCCCTATCCCCTTCTTTGAGCACTCGCAGTTGAAGCTTAGCAATTGCTTTCTTCACATTTGCCTTTATCTGTCTTCGCCTCCTAGTGGAAGAATTGGGCACCCTAGGTCTCCAGGCACAGTACAAGAACAGGTAGGCAACTGTGGGAGCCAGGAAGGTAAACAGAGACATGACGTAGTAGCTCAGCCATGGCATGTGCATTCTCCCCACTTCAATGACGATCGTCACATAGACTCCTTTCTGAATCAAGTGCAAAAGTTCCATGCCTTTCAAGTTGCCTATCATCACTGCGACTGTATTTCCCGTTCCCTGGTGAGACATGGGAAACACTTTGTTGCCCGTACCTGGGTAGTTATAGATGATCACACCATTTGCTCCCTTCTCTGCTGCCACATTGATTTTATGTGTAAAAGTACAGCCTCCCCGTTCAATGAGGGCCAACCAAGGGTCTGCCTGTTGAGGCCTGCTGAAATTGGTCATAGAATTACAAGCGTTCTGATTCCATCCTTCAGGAAGTACCACCGCACCAGACACCCTTTGCAGAGGAGAATGATTCCCGAACACTCCACTCTCTCCTAATTCTGATATAATGCGATTTCCCACCTGAAATGTTATATTCAGGTGGGCTGTCCATATGGCTTTTCCTTTTGAGTCAGGAAGGCTAAGCAGCAGAAAGATGCTAAGCCTCAACAGTCGAGATGAAACAGAAATATGAGGTGAAGGAGTAATTCTAAGTAGGCTCATTCCTCCATTTGCCTATTAGCTGATAAACATGAAAAACAAAACATCAATTATAAAAGAAAGTAAAAAAGCTAGCTTCAATTGTTAACAGATGATAATTAAAGCATGTTGATGGAAAAGGTCTGCGTGGATCAAAGATACCTTGCTCCTTCCAGTATTTTTATTTTGGGTAGATTATCTTTCTTACAATGAAATAAGAGTTATTGTTAGTACAATGTGATTTCAAGAAAATTATGACTTCCTAATGGTAAATTGTGACATCAGAGGTAGTTAAGCCAATCCAAGAGTTTATATTAGTGCAGTGCATACTGAAATCCTATTGGCCAACAAGCTACTAAGCAATGACTCACAGTATATAACAATTTGAATAAACTCTAAGGCAATAAGTAAACAGATAAGAATTTTTTTGAGTCTTGAGTTTCTTTCCTAGTTCTACATAGACTGAAAAGCTGCCTAACCACTTTTACCCTCATTGTTTTTCTGTCAGCAAAAGCAGAAATCATGTATTGATTAGTTTGCGTGCCTGGCCAGTCGATAGTTTTCATGCATGGTATGCTACCTAAAATGCCATTCTATGGGAAGCAGGAACTAATCATTCCTACTCTCTTCCAATAGTAAATGCTTACCCAGGCCTGAAGATTCAACATGAGGACAATGTAATATAAAATTATACTATTAGCCTTATATATTGTCATCTTGTAAGGAGAATTCAACTTTATCCACTAAAATAGCTACTGAGGTTGTACTATGTGCTGACAAGTAACTAATATGGGTCCTACATCAAAGAAGAAAATAGATATATACCTAGTTTGTAGAGCACATTATCCAGTGAGGGCAGATTTTAAAATACACACACAAATGCAGAAGTGCAAGTTGTGAGAAGGGCTCTGAAAGGAAAACAGAGGATCAAGAGAAAGAATAGATGTAACAGGGAGTGAACTCTGGTTAGAGGTACAGGGCATTACTCTCTGAGAAAGTGATACTCAGTCTAAGACTCGAAAAAATTGCTCAAGCAAAACATGAGTTAAGAAGATTTCAGGCCGAAGAAACACCAGTTTCAGGGCCCTAACACAGGAAGGAACATGGCAAGTGAAAGGATCTGATGAAACATAAGTTTGGCAAAGTGAGAGAGAGAGCTAAGGGCGATGAGGGAGGAAAGGCGAACAGCAGTCAGCGTTCAGGGTCAGAAATGTTGGAGTAAAGATTTTGGATTATGCCCCAAGGACAAGAGAAACACTGAAGGGTTCCAAACTGGGGAAATGACACATAAGTGTCTCAAAATGTTCACTTTAAGAAGTGCACTCTGCCTGCCTTAAGCGGAAAATGGACTGGAGGAGAAGAATGAAGAGGGAGATGAGCTTAGGCAGGAGGCAGCAGTGGCTCGAACTCTTGAAATACAGTGGAATCTCGGGTTTCGAATGTGATCCGTTCTGGAAGACCACTCGAGTTCTGAAACGTTCGAAAAACGAGGGATCCACAGCTGACAGGATCTTGCCCTCAGCGGAAGCCACATGAAACGTTCAACTTCCAAGGCGTGTTCGTAAACTGAAGCATTTGCTTCCAGGTTTACTGTGTTCATAAACCGAAATGTTCCGCCATGGAGACATTTGAAAACCGAGGTACCACCGTATCAGTAAAGATGTAGAGATATCTTTACTTTAAAGGCTGAATTAACAGATGTGGTAACTAAAAGGACGGTGACCACAGAGGAAAGGATGTCCACAAC